GTATCAGACAACAAAAATGTTTTAAAATCATATTTAAGCTAAAATTTTTTAAGATAAAAGTGAACAAAAATTTTCTTTAAATAAACCGATGTAATAAGTTTAAATTCCGTTTTTATTTTATATCCTAAAGGAATAAGAAATCTAAGTTTTTAATTATAACAGCATTTTTTGCTCAGTGATCTATTCTGCTACATCAATCCGTCGCTGCTTGCAACTGTGTTTGTCCTTCTCCTGCTTGGACTTTTAATATTTAAGGAAGCCTGGTCCTGCTCGGTGTCCTGGAGGTGTCCACCGTCCACCGTCCATCGTCCGTCTGCCGCTGCTGCTTTTGCTCGCCTCACTGGCTGCTAACAGCAGCAATGGCAACGGCAACAGCAAGAGCAACAACACCAACACACACACACACACATACAGACACAGCAGGAGCATGTGTAGAAAGTTTTTGTTGCAAGGACTTGGTTACACCTCTGCGGCTGGCTGTGAATCTGGATTGCAGCAATAAGGAGTTGCCGTCGCCGCTGCTGCTGTTTCCTTTTAGTTTCAACTCCCCCTGCCTTTAGTTTGCAGTTTTTTTTTTTGCAAGTTTCGGTAAACTTGCCACTTGGCCAGAAAGCAGAAGACTTGTCCCCGCCGTGCTCCCAATGGAATGTATCTCAATGTGTGGTAAAATAAATTTACAGCTTGACCAAAAGGAAGCAAGATACAAGGGCACGCGAAGGACCAAAAAGAGTTGGCCAGAACACATCGAATTGGAAATGTTCTCTAAGATTTCCTATAACTGTAGAGAAGTTTTTGTTAAAAGAAACAATTGGAAAGGTTACGATTCTTTAGCATATTACAATCATGCGGCATTTGATTATTGATGAATTAATTTCAAATGATTAACATTAAACATTTTTATCTGATAATTAAATTTGTTAAACAAGCTAGCTGTTAACTTTATTAAGTATTTATATTTATATAAAATTTCAAGCTCCATATCCATCTCGTCTTCTCAGTTCCACACCAAATCCTTTTAAGTGAAGCAGGCGTTAATCATTCCAATGGTTCTCCACGTGGTGCTCATGCATTCGAATATCTTACCTGGTAAATAATTAACTGATAACTTTTTAGCCTGGCAAAGGACAAGGCAATCCTTTGAGTACCCTTCGGTCAGTTTGATGTGCGCCACGTTTCAGCTGAACCCGTTCGGTTTCTGTGGTTACTATTTGAAGTTTTGATTAATTAATGAGTGAAACCCATCTGAGGTTGGACCGGCAGAGGTTGAAAAAGGTATCAATGACTGGGCCCTTGCAGGCTATAATTTCGTTTTGCTTGTTATTCATTAGCACTCCATCAGTAACCTTATCCAATTTGAGTACGGCGCACCCAATTCGATTCGTCTCTCCGGTTTAATTGAGTGTTTGATTTAATTATAGACCATTTACATGCCGTTGTGTTACCGCTGATGGTGCTGCATCATTAAGCATTGATTACGAAAGCTGATTAATTAGTTGTCCTGCCGGCACACATACGCACACAAACACGCCTATACTTTTGACAATGCATCAAAAGTGCGTTATAATTATGTAAATGTGGCTCGCAGCGCAACGTGTTCGCATGCGAAATGCGAATTGCGTTTGGTTGTCGGGCTAATTGTGATTATGGGGCTCGGGATATCCAAGGGCGGTTAGCAAAATGCAGGTTTGAGCCACCGCCAAAAGCTTTCCGATGCACCAGTTCAACTTTTAATGACAAAACGTTGAGCGGCGCTTAGCCCTAACTTTCCCCTGGCTCATTTCAGTTCAGCTCACTTTGGTTTCTGCAGTTAGCCAGAGCACTTCAAAAAATATATTGTAAATAAACCAACATATATTAAAACTCATAAGCAAAATAAGCCTGTACTGGTGGCGGTAGGTATTCAATTATTTTCAAGCTAGAAATTCAATTTTTAAATAGTTCTAGAGTCCTAATTGAGCCTTAATTGGCACAACCCTTAATTGGCACAAATTTAATTAGGCGTTGCCAGCTATTTTCGACAGTGTGGGTTCATCAGAGAGCGGTGGCCACAAAAACCGCCGTCTCATGATTTAAATTTAATGCAACTTTTGCTTTATAGCCAAACTGTCGCACACACATACACATATAGAGGAACACAGGCAGCCGCACACCCCTACACACACATTAATGTAAAAGCTATAAAGTCATGTGCAACACCATTGCCACTTCCTGGCAATTCCTGGTGGCAACAGCAGTGGCAGGAGCAGCTGCAGGAGCGGCAGGAGGAGCAGGATCAGCTGCCGGTTCGGGACTCTCTGGCAGCTATTTGGTCACTGCACTTAGTGCACTTCCTTTGCTCGCATTGCTGGGGTTTTTCGCCAGCCAGGGAAAAACGGTGGAAGGCGAAAAGGGGGCGGACCAGCAGTGGGTTAAGGGTTTTTTAAACCTGCTACTCATTACCGATATGGGTTAATGGGAATATGGGTTCGGAACAGCTGTAATAAAGGAGGGGAAATCCGCTGTGATTAACTAGAATCTCTGTAAGCTGAAGGGAGAAGATTTCCGTTTATTTAAAATGTTAACCAGTTTCCATTCTGGATTCTGTATAAATTAATCATGTTTTTGTAAAGAAATATTATTTATTTAAGTACAAACTAATTTTAAAAGTTGGAAGGGCTAGTAAAATACACATGTAAGACTAACTAATAAAGGGATTTTTAATTGTAAGTTTTAATCTCTTAACTACAAGTGATTTTAAAGCTTTAATTTCAGCAGTTACTGGGTATCAATGAGGTCCCCATTCCACCTGCAATTGCTTAGATTTCGGCTGATTCTGGTGCTGCTTCTCTCGTTGCTGTCGCCTGATGAAATGCCATGCTTGGCGGTTGAGCGTTGAGATTTTTGCAGCAGGAGAAGACCGACAATCTACGCCACATACGAAACTGCATTTGTGTGAGTATCGTCCTGGGTGTTTACGTGTATATGTGTGTTTTTGTGTGTGTGTGTGATGGAATTTTGCAGTTTTAGTTAATGTTTAGCCAGCGAAATTTTGGCCCAAAGAATGTCATGTTGAGCAGCCAAATACTTTGACATCATCAGCACACATACGAGGATATCTCAATCTTAGTGTGGAAAATAAAGAGAAACAGTTGTGTGTGTGCGTGTGTGTGAGTGTGGACAAAAGTGGTTTAGTGCTATTTTCATTTCGGCATTGGATTTGCCATTAGAGCTTGGCGAAGCGTGTAAATGAAATTTGATAAGATTAGGCTGTGCAATTGTTGCAGTGGAACCTCTGCGTCCTTTCTTTCCATTCTTTGAGTCCTGGCTCTTTCGATTCGGGAGCTTTCTTTGAGTGGTATAAGAGTGAAACCGTTGGAATTTTGAAAAAATCCCATTCATGCCAAGCGAAAAGTTTCGCGTTCCACAATTCGTTCGGCTTTTTCGTGGGTTTGGGGCGCATGTCTGTCGAATCCACGGTTTCGAAATCGAAATGAGAGCCGGAGAAAGTCGAGAGAAAGCGGCAGAGAGTTACGAACATTGGGTCTCGTGGTCCCATGTCAACTTACACGCTTACACCCCATTGTAGTAGACTTTTTTTGTAAGCGGTGTGGTACGTGATTTCGACGGTGGTGTAGGTTAAGTTGTAGCGGTTACATTTTTTGGCCTGCAACTTGGCGAATTAGCAAAGAAATCTTGTTAATGAATGACTTGGCTTGGGGATAATCTTTGTTTAAACTCAGTTACTATCTAAACTATTGATAAAGTAAAACCAAAGTTTTATTAGCTATATTCTGCTTCTTCCAATATCTATAATGATTTTCTTAATTTATTTTTGTATGTTTTGGTTCTTTTCTGGACTTGTAGCTATTACTATCGTTTCATTTTTTTAAGTTGCAAGTATATGTTCATATATTAATAGGACTGTTATTGTAATTTGTGATCCTTGACTGGCTGCCTTGACCAGCGAAGCTGCAGTAACTGTGAGATGCTCTTGGTAACCGCTTTTTGGAGCTCTCATTCATCTAGGGAGAGGCGGTATCAAAAAAAGGAAAGCCAGAGAGAGTTGGATAGAGAAAGCAAGAGCGGGAAAGTGCAAGGGGTTCCACAGCAATGCGTGGTGGAACATGTTTGTAAAAGGTTCCAAAGGGCAGGAGGGTGTTGAGGTAGGACCGACATAATACAACTGGTGCAAAGTTAAATTGTGATCTAATATACTAGTAAGTTTCAAAATCGAAATCATAAGACTTAACCTTTTTTAAATAAAGAGAATACTTTTATGATTAAATTACTAATATCAAATGGGTAACTATTTTTACTACATTTTTTAAAAAACGTTAAAAGGTTGATTTCGACAAAGACCTACATATTATAATATTTTTTTTTCGTAAAATGAAATCCTTTAAATCAGTAGAATTCAGAAGGGTTTTAACACAAATTTAATATTGAGAGCCAGCGAGTAAAAGTTGTAGATTTATGTAAACCGATAATGTGGAATAAAATATATTATTAAAAAAATAATTTCGCAAAATTTTATTGTTTAGCTTGGCACCTTCCTTTTGATCTTATACTCCTATTGATAGTTTATGTTTAGCTGACAAACTTGACAAGTCAAGTTCATGTGGCATCCACGGAGCAAAGCTTATCCACCACTTGGCTTCCACAAACCAAAAAAGCAAGCGGCTTTGCTATTTTACCCCCAAAACTCTTATAATGCCAGTGTTAGCCGCTCGCTCGCTCGCTTTTCGATTTCGAACCGGCGACAAGCGTTGGCCCACTTACAGGGCTCACACACACACACACAAACGCTGGGGAATCCAAAGGATTCGACTGTTCGGCAGTTCGAAAGTGCGCGACACGAAGTTGAGCCGAAGGATCCGCATCCGAATCGCGGAGGGCGATGGCGATGGCAAAAGTGGCCAAAGCCACGAATGAATGGCCAGGCGCTTTAGTACTGAAAAGGTCGTGGATTTGTGTAGTTGTCGTGCTCCGTTGTCGCTGTTTGTCTCGTTCTCGTTGTCGTGTTGTCGTTGTCGTTGTCGCCGACGTACGGCCATCGCATCGCATCGCAATCGCAATCGCCTCACATCGCGTAGCCGCAGTGTTGACCGTCCGCATACGCAAAACTGGCGAACGAAGCAGGGCAGCTATAAAAAAATCACAAGAAACAAGTGCCGCCAGCTTCAGTTGTAGCATATCGAAATCCCAAAAAAGTATATCCTATTTGTTGATTGTTGAATCCTGCAAAAGGAGAGCAGTGCACGTGCTATAGAAACATCTTAAACGCCTGCGTTAAGTTTCTGGATGTGTGTTGTTATGCAAATCGCGTCCTTTTTTGGCTTGAGGCAACAATACAACAGTGAGTGTGTGTGAGTGCGTGCGGTTGGAGTGTGGAGTGTGGTGGTGTGGTGTGCGCTTGTGTGTGTGGTGTATGTGCGTAGCAAACACGGTGTGTATGAGCGCTGCTGTACGCGCCCACAATGCATAAATCAAAATACACATTATTGAGTCATAAATAAAGTTCGCATCGGCTGCTACTTTAAATATTGGCCCCGCGGCTGGGCGGCGATTCCGAAGACGAGAAAGTTACCAGTTAGCAGTTAGCAGCAGCAAACGCAAGGCCGCCGAAATCGAAATTTATGCCTCGCACCCGCCAAATACTTTGCCATATTTTTTGCTCAATTGCCTGCCGCCGATCCAAAAAACCCGCCTGCCATCTTCTCGCTCCTCGCCTCATTTTGTATGATGTGTGCGTCTCGCTGGCTGCATAAAAAGCGCTCAATGCCAACACGCCCTCGACAGCAGCAATAAGCAATAAGCACAGCGGCAACAACTCCATCGGCGAACACACAGTGGCCCAAAACCCTGCGGGCTGCTTTTATTACAAAGGCCGTAAAAAAAGCGCCGAAAAGCGGAGTAAACGCCACAGCAAAAAGGATACAATACGGCCGAAACAGGGGTAAGTGCAAGTGGGGATACGAGTAAATATCTACCAAAATAAACATGTACACCATACTTTGTACTTTATATCCGCCTAATCTGAAGTCGAAGGCGAACGGCCCAAAGGTCGTGCATTAAAAACAGAAACAATTATTCCCATCAGCTTGATGGAATCTGATGGTAGTAATAGGTAAACAAATCAAGGCACAACAAAGAGTCTAAATATTTGAAGTAAATTCTGGCTCTACTACGGAATAGAAATTTAGAAATGAAATAAGTGAAAGCATTCAATAGAGGAATCCGAAAATGGATTGTATTTGTAGCAAGTAAATATTCATGAAATTTAAGTCATAGGCACCAATTCGAAGAAAAATATAATGTGGCTTAAAAACAATATGCATATCTTATTTAAGAAGAAATACATTTTGGACTATTTGACATGATATGCTTTACCGAGAATTTAAGTAAGCAATAAGAACAAATAAATCCTTATTGTTTAATATTTATAGAAAAGCTTTGCTTTCTAAAAATCTCGTTTTGTCAGTCTTATTTTATATATATACTTATTTGTTGGGACTCTGTCAGCAAGCAAAAGCGAGTTATGTTCTCGACTTGGCTGAAAATCGCAGCTGATATATTTGAAGCCACAACACGAAAGTGGGTCGTGCGAAACGAGTGAAACTTACAATTTGTCTGCGACTGTGTCAGGGATAATATTTCCCATTGCCTTTGATCATTTTGTTGACGCCGGCGTGTCAGTTAGTCAGTCTGCGAAGTGCGTTAGTCTATCTCGAGGAGACGCAAGCCATGGAAATCATATTAAAATGCTGTCGGTGCATAACCTACTTTTTATTTTTATATATATGCCACACTCACACACACGAAATAGTATACAACCGAGTGTGTCTCGCACCCACTCGCATTGAGGATGGTAGTTGGCAGTTGTGTTGGTTGTTTGTGTGTTGCATTCCCACATATATTGTTGTCGTTTCACTTTTGCTGAGCACGTCTTCGCATGAGGATATGGAGGAATCCTCCTTTGCCCGGGATTTGGTATGGGTTTTCGGGGCTGCAGGCGCTTGCCAAATGCGCTTTGTTGCCGCCATTGTCAACATGGCCAGAAAGCTGGAGCGGCAGCAGGAAATTTTTGCATTTTTCGGCTCAGTCAGCGCAACGTGGCTTGGCAATGGGCCAGAAGGCGAGAAGGAATGCCGAAGGGGCTGCTATCTCGTCTCTGATTTTCTGCACAGCTTAAATTATTAAAAGGCTGGCTTGGTCCGAAAAACTTAAGGCGTCTCGCATAAATCAAGCTGGCCAGGGGACAACCTGGCGTATGCGCAACTTTAATAACATGAGCAGCAGCTGCAAAAGTTTCGCCTGTCGTTGGGGGGCAAGTTTAATGCAGCATGTAAATATTGCCATGACACACGAAAACTTTCACTGGCCCTTTGTTGACAGGCTCTCGAGGACAACGGCTGAAAGGATACGAGTGTGCGTGTGTGTGTGTGTAGACAGCCGAGATTTATGAGCCCAAATGGAAGACGGAGCGTGTGACTCGCATCAAACTAGGAGTGAAAAGTTTCACAATTAATTTTAATAGTTAATAGCGGAACTCTCTCAGCGGGTTTATGGCGTTTCCTATTTAAACCGAAGTTTGCTGAGAAACACAGGCTTTATGTCAGTAGATCTTAGTAGGAAAGTGAGATTAATTTTGACTAAATATATGCTCAAACAAATAAATTTTTAAATTTACTCTCTAAGCAAATATATTTTTTATTAATATCAAAGATATTGTTTAATAAGCAAACAGTCAGATAAATTTATCCTTAATTAATGTTGTTACGATTTTAAAAGCCAGTCTCATATATCAAAAAGTAATTACGTTTTCTGAAAAAATAAAAACAATGTTCAACGCTATTTAAATCATGCGTTTCGTTTTGTTAAAACGATCCCATGCCGCCACTTAAAAGGCCTTTAAAAACCCAACCTCGGCATATCACATTTCAAAGCAAAGAAGAACAGAAATCAAAGCTTTGGCTGTACAAAGCCAAATAATCCATCAAGTGGCATTAACTTGAAACAATAAATTTCACACACAGCTGCAGAGGTAAGCCCAACCCAGCGTATTTTACAAACAACTCGAGCTCGGGCACTTGAAGTGCTTGACAACTAATCAGGTTTCAAATGCCTAAGCACACACGCACGCACACTGAGCGAAAAAAGGTAAACGAATCCCCTAGCAAGGGGGAAATAAATCCGTTGTGAGTGTCGGTAATCAAAGCTGCTTACAACCTGCGCTTTTATTGTACTTTATGGGAAATCTGGATTCGGTATTGGGGAATGGCGATGCGAATTTAATTTTTCGCCTAATGCATTTGGTTTCAGTCTAGACTGGTTGTGTGTGGGCCGATTGAGTTTCGTTGCTGAAAAATCCATCACAAGTTGTGGGTGGATCCAAATCGGATAGGACCTTAATAATTGATTGAGAACCCTAACCAGGAAAATGTTTAGAATTTTTGTTGGCCTTACATGGCTTCTGGCTTATACTTGTAATTAAATGAATGCTTAACTTAATAAGCAGCCGAAAGCAAAGAAAAGTTTTATTCGAACTATTACAAGACCTTTTCTTAGTTTCAATACATCGTGCAGCAATTAGAGTTTTACTCCAGACATTTTACTTTTGACCAGCTTCCATGGCTCGGCGTTCTTTACTTCCGCTCCAATCAAACTTAATCCCAATTCGAGTGCAGCATTCACCAATTTTTTTAAGCTCTCCTTTCTGGAGTTTCTTTTGGTGCTTCTTCGATTTCACAGTCATTATGGCTCAAAATTAGCACAAATTGTTTTGAAATGTGAAGCCATGCGTTCACTCCGGCGAATGTTAATCCGGAATCCGGAATCCGAGCCTCCGATTCCGTGCTCATGCCAATCAGCAGCCAAAGGCAGCCAGCAATTTTTTTTACAAAATAATTGAAAAGGCTAATGTACTTTCGATGTTGACCAGTACACAAAAATAAAAGAAGCCCGTCGGGCGGGGAGCCATAAAAAAGCAAAACGTAAAGGAAGACATTTAGGTTGAGCAGAAGGTAGCTGCAGAATATGAACCCATTCAAATGGTCGACCCAAATCTGCTATGAGGAAAATAAAGAAATGCAACAGCGTGAAAAGTGAAAGAGCAACATGAGCTCGAAATCCACGACCAGAGCTTGACTGGCATAGCCAGAAATATAGAACCATTTCCACTATAAACAAAAAAAAGAGTATAAGGATTAGAGAAAGAACGTGGTGATATATTCAAATTGCTTATTTTAATTGCTTATTTATACTTGTTTAAGTGGAGACAAGTTTGAAATTTAATATAATATATTTATATTTCTTTCCCATGTGCAAAGCATTCTTGGTAACATATAGGTGATAAATTAGATTAAATAGGTTTTAAGTTTTATAGTAAAGTAAAGACCAAACAAACCTGAGCAATTTTTCTTACCTTCATTTTTCAAAGCGCTGTTTCCCTGTTTCCATCATATCGTAAAACTATAAAAGCCCTGACAGTTAGTTATGCAAAGTGTATTAAAAGAATCGTCTAGCTGGGAAACTTTCACTCGCTCCCACTCTTTTTTTTGTATCCTTGGGGCTCTTTTACTTTCCTCCAGTTTCCTTCTGCGTTTACCGTTGGCATTGTGTGCGCATAATAGCCTGAAATTAAATCAGCGAGCGCGTGGGTAACTTAAAATAATAGCCATTGCTTATGTTTAAGTAAAATATGTACTTTGTGTACGAAATAAGTGACCAGGATGGAAGCATGGACCACGAAGCGAAACTACTGCAGCTGCTGCGTCCTTTTCTATCCTTTTTTTTTTTTTGATTTCAGGCAGCCTGCTTATTTCCGTTTCCGCTTGGCCAACTGCTCGCTGCCTGCTGCTTGCTGTCAGCTGCATTTTTTATTAGCAGCTCACCGCTGTGGCACATTATTTAGACCGCTCCACTTTCCCTCCATCGCATTCCGTTTTATTACCGCATTTCCATGGCGCTCAGTAATGGAAGCGGTTAAAAGCTTTGCCTAATTTTTAGCCGCAGTTTCGCCGGGATTATCGCTGGCTAAGAACAAACAAAAATCAGGCTGCACTATAATTTAAGCCTGTCCAGTGTCCGGTTTTTCTGTCCCTATTGACACTGTCTAATGCCTGTAATTCTCGTTCTGCTGGACATCATTTGTAAGGGAAAAGTGTCAGTGGGACTGTGAGGCAGATATATTTCAATAATAATAATTAATAAAACGAAACTGAGACTCCGACTGCTTGGCCCTATTGATTTATGGCCCTCGGTAAATTGTGGCACTTAGTGTAATTGTTTATGTATATGCCAAGGGTTCCACAAATGGGACTAGAGCTGCCACTTGATTAGCCTTCCCTCACCTGGAAATTTATCTGTAGTTGTACTTCTGATATACCCTGGTAAATAGCACAAGCATATATATTTCCACAAATTTAATTATCATTTCAATTGAATTATTTATTTGCATTGGAACAATGCTTGCCATTGCAGCTGTTAATTTATAGTCAATATCTTCAGACTTTATTTAAACTACGTGGCTATAAGATTTTTACAAGTTGAATTGTTGTATTCAGTAAAAATTAAATACCAAGATTTAAGTTTTTGTCAGTCATTACTTGAGTGTTATTTGTTGTTTGAATCTCTCTCTTCCCCTTACTTACTCGTTTATTTGCTTTCTTTTTAATTCCCTATATAAATCGATATTATCATGAGCAGAAAACTATTGAAGCCCACGTTTGAAAACATTTACTCTTCCAAAAAGTACGAAGATAAACCACAGAAAGGCAAACATGCGAGTGGAATGAAAAAAAGCGGACTTTTGGCATATGAAATGAGCAAATAAAAGAGACATTCAATTATCTAAAAAGCAAAACAAATATGAAAATTAATTTGACATGTTTGACATTTTGGGCAAACACGGGCATGAACATCAAAGGGGCGCTGGGGGAGTGGTCGACTGAGAGT